CAGCCCGTGGCATCAGTTTTCGGAGGATCAGAGTCATTGTTCAGCCCCAGGTGTGCACAAAATAGTTATAATAACCACAACATGTTAATGCCACCTGACTGTTTAGGGGTGTTTGTGCCTCATTAATTCCTTGCTCTAAAGACCTCACATTTGGGCCACTAACCCAACCCCAGACTCCAATGAGTCGCAGCAGTTTTCAAGACAATCTGAGGCCTTGTTTATGCTGGCAAGTTTCTGTGCAGTAAAGCAGCTTTGAGAGCTGTAACTCCCGAGGTGTACACACTAGCAAGCCACTTTGTGTGCAGAAACTGCGCAGTTGAAGCGCTGTAAAACAACCACCTCGACAAGAGGCGTACAACTTTCTGCACTGGGGCTACAGCACCACGGTGCCAGCGTAGACACCCTGGTCAATTACAACACTGTGATTTGCCTTCAGGAGGTGTCCCACACGCCTGTTCTCGCCTTTCTGGTCATCGATTAGAACTCTACTGCCCTGCCCTCAGGTGACCAACCTTCAGCCCCATCCTTTAAATTCCTTGGGAATTTTGAAAGTCCCCTTCCTGTTTGCTCGGCATGCGGTGGTCTCAGCGCATCTTTCCAGGTGACCATGGCTGCTCCACACACCAGACGATCCCCCACTTGGAGCAATGCCGAGCTGCTGGACCTCATCAGAGTTTGGGGAGAGGAGGCTGTCCAGTCCCAGCTGTAGGAATTATGATACTTATGGACAGATTTCACGCTTCATGACAGAAAGGGGTCATGACCGGGACACATTGCAGTGTAGGGTCAAAGTGAAGGAGCTGTGGAACGCCTACCACAAGGCGCGGGAGGCAAACTGCCACTCCAGTGCTGCACCCACAAGATGCCGGTTCTACAAAGAGCTCAACATGATACTCAGTGGTGACCCCACCTCCACTGCGAAGAGTCCTGTGGATACTTCAGGGGCTTCCGTGCCAGTCAAGAGTGGACTGAGCCAGGAGGAGGAAATCTTGGACGAGGCTGCGGAGAGGGAGGTGGACCCAGAGCCAGAGGATGACTTGTTCAGAGATGCATGCAGCCAGGAGCTCTTGTGTACCCTGGAGGTGGCTAGCCAGTCACAGCGTTCAGAGCTTGTCAAAGCGGAAACAGGAGACGAGGCCCCTGGTAAGTGGCTTTGATTCTGGGAATTGCTAAAGTGAGTTGTTGGGGGGAGGAGGGTTGCAGAAGGCTGCCTTGTGTCTGTGCGATGCGCGTACCACCACATGCCTAGGCAGAGCGGCGGAACAGGGTGTTGATGGACTCCCTCACTTCACGGGAATCTGCCTCAGAGATCTCCAGGAAACTCTCGTGGAGATACTGGGCAATCGGCTGCCACGGGTTCTTTGGCAGAGCTGCTTTGTTTCTTGCCCCACTAAGGGTAACGTTCCCACGCTACTCAGTCATCACTGTGTGTGTTTGGGGGGGACCATTGCTGCACACGGGCTAGCTGCATGAGGGCCTGGGTGGAAGCTGCATTCCTTGAGATGACCCTCCCTTGATTCTCCAGTCACCCTCAGCAGCGAGATATCTTCCATAATGAGCACAGCCTGTGGAAAGTGTGGGGACAGGAACAATTATCAGCCCCCGCCTACAGTGCTGGCTCTCCCCAAGAGCCACGTGCACAGTGTACAGCAGGGTTCGGGAAGAGTAATTTATCCTGCCCCTGTGGCTACTCACCATTTTGGGGGTCTTGTGGCTCATGTGTGCTTGCCTGGGGTCAGCCAGTTAGTGACAGGAGTGTGAGTACTGGCTGTGTTCTAAAGCACTGAATCAGTGTTGTCTGTGTTGCAAACAAAACTGCTTCTGTGACATGTTGCATTTAAACTTCACAGAGATGACCTTGGGAGCCCAGCCTTCCTCTTTGTTATCGGCAGCAGAACGGCTGCGCAGAATTAGGAAGTGGCCAAGAAGAACTAAGGAGGACTTTCTGCATGATGTTATGATGCACTCTGCCACTGAGAAACAGGAATTGAAGGACTGGCGGGACAGTGAGAAGAGGGAACGAAAAGAGAACACGACACACCAGAATGAAGCCTCAGCAGCGAGATATCTTCCATAATGAACACAGCCTGTAGAAAATGTGGGGTAAGGAATGATTTTAATGCCCCCCTTACAGTGTTGACTCTCCCCAAGAGCCACGTGCCCACCGCTGTCCTAGAACACTGAATTCCCCTGCCTCTGCGGTTACTCATCATTTTGGGGGTCTTGTGGCTCATGTGTGCTTGCCTGGGGTCAGCCAGTTAGTGAAAGGCATGTGAATAGTGTTTGTTTTAAAACACTGATTCAGTGCTCTCTGTGTTGCAAATGATAGTGCCTCTGTAAAATGCTTCATTTTGGCTTCACAAATCTGACCTTGGGAGCCCAGCCTCCCTCTTTTTTTACCACCGGCTGAACGGCTGCGCAGGATTAGAAAGCAGCCACGAAAAAGTAGAGAGGACCTTCTACGTGATGTCATGCTGCACTCTGCAGCTGAAAAACAAGAGTTGAATGAGTGGCAGGACAGCAAGAAGAGGGACCAAAAGGAGAACACAGAGTGCCAGAACGAAGCCACGGAGCGGCTCTTAAAGATTATGGAGCGCCAAGTGGACACGCTCCAGGCACTCCTAGCACTGAAAACAGAGCAGCTCCGGCCCACCCTCCCCTGCAGCTGTTATTGCAAAACTCTTTCCCATGCACCACCCCCAACCTGCACACATACACACACACACACACACACACAGTCCAGCTCTGTGGACTCCCAGTACCTACTGCACTCAACACCCGTTCCTCTGCAGTTTACCCTGCTGAAGTGCAGTACCCGGTGCACAGTACTCCAAAGGACAAGGGTGCATATGACACCTGGACATACACAAATGTTTAAACCTCTCGGGACCCCACCTCCCCCTGGGACCCTCCCTTCCACCATCCCCCTCACTGCTGAGTGTGTGTGTGTGTGTGTGTGTGTGTGTGTGTGTGTGTGTGTGTGT